TTTATATTCAGTTGACATTATAATATATATATTTTATGACGGATTAACAATATTTAAATAAATTTTCAATTAGCTGACTGAGGGCTGAACGTCCACAGGACATTATATTTAAGCACATATATAATAAAAACAAATAATAGAAAACGATAATAATGTATATACTTATTTAATTTAATAGACCGATGGGATAAACCCATTTTGTAAATAATAATGTACAATTTAACTGCAACAGAAGAGGAAAATCTGATCAGAATGAAAAGGAAACCTTGCCTCCACCACTACTAGAACTCAGCACCTTTTTCTTAACGTGCGAAGGTCTTACCAACTCAACCACAGAGACCTGTGGTCGAGATACATATTTATATATTACAACATTATTATTATTCTTTTAACTAGTATTGTATTTATATACTACTACACAGCAAAGTATTTTAATTTATATATAACATAGTCTATATACTTATATACATATATAGGGTATTTCATAAAATCTTGCCACTGTTATTTAATAAAAATCTGAGAAGATGTATTATTAAGATGTCATACAATATTGATCTTAATTGACTTTTTTATGACCTAATTATCTGACCATGTCGCCACTTTTTTTGTTTATCTTTTGGGGGTAACCCACAACTTTTTCATCACTTTTAATTTAAATAACACATACTGTACCACGGTATACAATAAGAAATCCTGTCAAAAAATTAAATTAATTAAATTATGAGATTTTGAATATATTAAATTAAAAATATTATTTAAGTTTCATGAAAGTAATATCATAGTGTGAGCAAAACATTATTGCATATTCAATTATTATTATTATTATTATTAATATATATATATATACTTATATACACATGCATTTATACACATACATACTGTATATACATATACACATATATACATACATATACACCTACACACCCCAACAAACACACAATACATATAATTATATATATAATTATATATATATATATATAATTATATATATATATTAATATTATACAATTCTTTTTTATATCAATTTATCATTTCACATTAAATACAATATCTGATATCAGACTTTTTATATATATATGTCACTACTTTTGATGTTATTCTTTGACTATGCAGTACAATAAACATATTTAAAAGAACAAAACATGTTTTACATGGTGGTCACCTTGAAATTTAATATGGCTGCTAAATGACCTTGACCTAAAATGGCTGTCATAATGACCTCTAATGAAATAGTTCCTATCAAAAATTGAATTTTGTGAGCTTATGTATGATTTTGATGTAAAACACGACCACTTACAAATTATTAAGATATTCTGCGTATTTAACAGAAAAATGAAATTGAATGACCTTAAATGACTATCTGACCATGTCACAAGTGCTATAAATCATTGACCATGAAAATATATTTTTAGACATCATAATTCTTATTGGAAGTAGTTTAAAAGTCGATATATTGATAAATATAGTTTTTGCGTGGCAGCCATTTTGAAATTCAAGATGGCCGCCAGAATGACCTCAAATGAAATATTGTAGTTCATAGTAAACTTTTTGAATTCTGAGAGCCTGGGTATGATTCTAATGTAAAATTTGACAATTACGTAATTTTAAAGATACCATACAATATTTGACCTTGAATGACCTTAAATGACCTATTTGTGGCAATCTGACCAGGTCAAATATGATATTGGTATTCCTCGATCATATAAACATACTCTTAGACATTATAATTATAATTCAAAGGGATTTAGAAGCGAAGATATAGATAAACATAGGTTTTATAAGGCTACCATTTTGAAATCCAAGATGGCCGCCATAATGACCTCGGATGAGGTGGTTCCTACCAAAAATTGAATGCTATGACCATAAGGAGCATGTAAAAAGAAATTGGTGCTTTTGTCCGGAACGTCCACATTAAGTCCAAATGTGGCCCTAAGCTGCCGTACTAATTGTCATTATTCAAAATGAAGCACGAGAGTTTCATGAACGCTAACTGAATACCAACGTATACAAGGGCATCGTAATCACTATTAATATATAATTATTACCGAATGCAACATGTCCATTAAAACGGCATTAGGCCATCTTCTGATGTACATTAAAATGCTATAATGGGGCTTGGAGAGTAGTGGTGATTAGAACGGTTTTAGTCGTAAGAGACATCCTATCTATCTTTATTTAATATAGTAAATTAAATAATTTTATCAATAATTATGAATATATGATATTAATTGATTGGGGACTGATTACTAGTGGGAACAGAATACTTTGTCAAATCATTATTTATACATTTTTAATAATCACTATCATTCATAACTATATATCATTTTACAATACAAATGATATTTTTTGTAAGTAGGTACCACCTGTTATTAGGCCTATCATTATTATATTACGCAACTTCATCATATTAAACTAATAGGGGATCTTCTCATATCAAATGAAGTTACAGTAGGCCTATATTGATTTTGTATCAAATCGTCTGCTGTTTTTTCTGTACATATCTCATGGAAAGGACATCTGGCATTCGTAAATAGATCAAAGTCTAAGAAAAAAAAATCTTTATTTATATTTTATTAGCAGTTTAGATCGTTACACAATACAGCATCGAATATCAAATACTATGGAACGCCGTTATATCTTCGGTTCCGTGTAAAACACTCTGTATGCAATCCTATTACGTTATGTGCTATCATCAATGCGTCATGCGGAAACGTCATTATATTATGTGAAATTGTCATTATGTTATGCACTATCTTCATTATGTTATATGCAATCGTCATCTGTTATGTGCATTCATCTACTATTAGTGGTAATAATAGTGGTAGTAGGTAGTGGAGTAGTCATGTGCAGTGACGTTGAGATAATACCAGTTATTGCAAAGGCACTCGCCAATTTTTATGGGATGGCCACACAATTTATTTCACTGATCGTAGGGTGTCATGAGCGTCGATGGGTGGGAAACAGGGGGACACGTCCTCCCCACATTTCAAAGTGGGGAAATCTTATCAATTATTCCGCCACCCCCCACACACATACACACACACACCAATGCTCTTCAGAAAGCGAGTGAAAAGAACAACAATTACGAATGACTGTCATGAATGTGTCTGTTCACCTGTGTTCTGTTTCCTGTATGTGCGGTATTCTTTCTGGACCAAACCTAGGAAAAACGCCATTTAACTCACAATGTGTGTCGCAATACTACATACACAAGTGCAATTCAAAAAGAGGAGAAAAAGAAAGATTGATTTTGAAAGTTATTGCAAAGTGACCAGATTAGAGTGACTGTTTTTAAGCGTTTAATTCTCTCTTTTTATTGTTCGAATAGGCCTACATTTTGACATGAGCTAATGAGTTGTATAAGCGGGTCTATGATTACGATAATAAATCACTTTTTATGATGAATATTTCAGTCCGAGAATTCAAGGAAGGTAAGCCTACCGCCCCACCCCCTCCCCTCCCTAAATTTTTCAAAATATAAAAGAAGTGGGAAATAAGAAATTGATATTCCAATTTCAGTCTGGGAGAGCCATTTCCGGCCAATAGAGGTGCCGATCATAAATGTCCTTGCCTCAGCACCAATCATGGTGGGGCTGAGGTGGTTTATACTCTCATCTATGAAAGTACCTCTCTCGGCTCCCTCCATTTAGAATTCCTGGATCTGCTGTATTTTGAAAATGTAATATCGAAATAAGTGTTAATTGTATTCCTTAAAATCATTTAGATACTACTTTTAAATGCCTAGATTTGAACGCCTGAGCTTCCGGGGGCTTTGCCTCATGATCCCCACTGGAGCGTTTCCACTGAACCACACCTGGCCCTACGTGGCCCCTGCCCCCACCCCCAGTCAAAACTTTGACTTCCTTATTTTTAAATTCGTCCCCTCCCCATTCGACGCCCTTGCTAAGTGTGGGCTCATGTAAAAATACATGTTCTTTTAGTCACCAGCTAAACGACTCTTACCACTGTCCTCTCATGAATGACGTCATGTGTACCGCATTAAAGGCCGATTCCCTTCCATGTATCAGTGGCTCTAATCATATTTTCTTTTGTGTAATTGTCCGTTATGAAAAAGTATTAATGTATGTAATTTTGTCAGTTTGATCGAGTTATTGTAGGGACGGAAATTCAAATTGCGGGAACCATTGCGTAAGAAAGCTGTAATGTAATTGCGTTATTTGCCGCTATTTGCTAACCAAACATCTTGATCAAGTAAGTCCACACCCGTTCAATTTATAATTCAATTTATTTATACCTCGTCCATTAATTTTCATTTCCAAACACACTAACATTTGCTACTTAATTGCAACAGTTGTGATAGGCCTTCATTTGATGTGATCTGATCGTTGATGACCAAACTGCTCAAATTCGACATCTCATAAAAGTGGGGCAACAACTTTCATAGTTTAAATCGTATCGTTACCAAGGAACAATATCAAATCCCTATTGGGCAAGAAACACATGTAGGCCTAGTAAACTTTATCTAAAGTGTTGTTACATATTACATAAATTAATAAAACAACACGCTACTACGCTATAGGATCGTAAGTACATAGTGACCAATCACAGTCACGTATTATATTTACACAGGGATCACGTGATATACTTCCAACCTATCACAACGTTCGAGAAATTATCGTTCAATAAAATGGCTTCCAAACCTCATGTGTGCCTTATTTTTGTTAGAAACCCAATGGGTTATTATTTGGTTATTGGTATTCGATAAATCATATATTGAATATAAAACATATTTATATATACATCATTTTGTCTATGTTATGTAGATAAATATTATTATCCAATAGCCGTCTTATGATTTGCAGGTCTAGTATGATTCATAGGTGCTTACAGCATCCTCTTTTCGATGAGTGTTAGGCCTGATATGATGCTTTATTTATTTTTCGTCTACACCATATCGACATTAAATTGTAAGAAAATAAGGAGTAAAAATACTGATATAGGCCTACATATTACCCTTATGTTATATACCCGGCCAAGTATAATAATTGTTATATATGATTAACGCTAAAACAGATTAACCATTTTGTGGTTGGAATGAGTGAAAAACAAATTCGACTTGATGATGAAAAAATTCGATGATCACGTAGGTGTTAATGTAACAGCGGCCATATAGACCATAGCTGACCATGTGTATAGCCGAGTGTAGCCTCGCATATCAATGCTCATCTTCGTCCATGTTAGACACTACGTGGATTAACTCTGTTCCAAATGTTCTTCCTCAGTTGTCGTGTTTGCTTAACTGTGTGGAAAGATAAGTAGAGTTTTAAAAAAAAGCAATTCATCGGTCTTAAAAAAATGTGCTACACTTTCGGAACTGCGGAAGCCGCTGTAGGATACAGCACCAATAAAGCTATATATATTAGTGGCGACTCAAGCGAAGGCATTGTTGCACATAAAGCGTGTTTTCCATATAATCGCTACATTGTCGCTACAGTCTTCAGTGAAATACTTGTACTGCGAAGCAGTCCCCTACGCAGTCGAGAAGGCTCCCAATTCGACCGGCTAATCAGCATCACTGAAAGCTGTCGGCAATAGTGTGTACCGATTGTATAGAAACCAAGCTATAACCCGCTCCACCGACCTAAGGGTCCTCCTCCTACCGTGGACGCTCAATAAAATCCATCTTAGACACTACGGCGGCGTGGCTGTTGCGAGTCCCAAATACTCTTCGGTGCTGTGTGTAAAAATAAGTAGATAAATAAAGAAGAGTTATAAGGCCCCATAAAAAAATATTAGTTTACCAACCCCTCCCTCGTCACTTTTGGGCAATTTCTAATTATTTTTTTTTCTAAGCAACATATTTTTATTTCAAACGGTCGTGTTTCCATCTGTTTTGACTTGGAAAGGTCAAGATTTCTTGCAAATATGTTTACTGGTACAACAAAAACATATTTTTTAAATATAAATTTGATTCCATTCTTATGACTTTTTATATATGTGTCCCTAACCATTGATTTACTTGAGAACATCGGTAAAATGGGGGCGGGGTTAGCAGAGAAAAAAAAAACTCCCTCCCTCATCAGTTGATAGGGTGATAAACTAATATTTTTTTATGGGGCCTAAGTACCGGTAATGCTACCGGTAACGAGTTGTGAGTGTGCCTATGACACACGATGAACCCCAACAGGGGAAGTCATTCCCTAATGAACACTCATTGAGCGTGGGGCGCACCTCTCAGAAACAGCATCTTCCCCAGGCGCCTACGCTGACAATATATTGAGTAAAAAAACACACTCAAGCAGTCATCTCATCACAGTATTTGACAACTAGCGCCCTCACATCATCGAGTCTCCACTTAATGTCCGGCCCCCCACCCCCTCACCCGCCACCTCCTAAATTTTATTTGACTACAAAATTATTTAAGTTATATAATATGCATGTATTTTAGATATTGGCCTAAATAAAATATTACTCTTAGGATCCAGCTGTGACGCTTTCTTTGAAAAGTTATTAATAATCTTAATTACTTCACTTTTGATTTCAATTATTACTTTCGGAGGGTAACAATTACTTTAAGAAGAATAACTTAATTTTTTAATTATTTATTTATATATATATATATATATATCATATATATATTTAATTATAATTCAATATGTATTTATTTTATATATATATGCATATATATATATATATATATATCTTTATAATTTATATATATATATATTTACTTGTATTTATATACTGTATATTTTGATAATAGTTTATTTTGATAATTAGTCGTTTTTATACAGAATTACACAGATATGTTGGTCTTTCAGTCATTTCATGTTATCACAACTTTAGTTCTCTTATGACATTAGGTATATTTGTATTATTACGGACTGTGATAAAATAAATAAATGTATGCTAGTCAACCAACAAGGCAAGTTATAGGAGAGAGAAACCAGTCGTAAGCTTCTTGGTTTGTACATTTGCAATTAGGAGTATAAATTGATGGTATGCTACAGACGATTGCCCAAGAACACTTTCATAAACTTAAACATTAGTAGGTAATGCGTCATGACGTAATAACAACAATGTAGACCTACTGATGCGTTTCGCGCGCATGCTCGGCTTTAGCAAGAAATACGCTTATTCATATTAGTCACGTTCATCTACGTACTGTATAAATATTATTTTATTAAGACATAGGATTGTATTGCAATGTACCACTGTATTTATAATCACTGATTAAACTTTTATGATATGATATGTTTGTTCAAGTGTGTAAAAGCAATGTAGCTTATTTTATCCAAGTGTACAAGAGTATAAAACACGAAGACTTCAGTTTAAATTAAATTACTTTCGATCGAAAGATAAGACCTAAACAATATATGTTACAGCAGTTGGTACCATAAGTAATTTCCCGCACGATTGAAAATCGTAACGATACTGGGTTTAGTCTACAGGGTAGTTCGTGCTTCGAACAGGCCATTCCATTCGTAAAAGAAGCCTTTTGCCTAGGTTTAATTACTGTACACTAATTAATTATTGTTTTTATACTCATTATATTTACACGATTATTTCATTTTAATATTATACAAAAATTTAACATAAATTATATATAATTCGAACTTTTAAAACTAATATTTTTATTGAATATTTTATCAAATAAACTTGTAAATAAAATTAATGAAACGTGGACATAGTATACCTACATTAATAAAATTAACAATTAACAATCAATTTCATATAACCGAAGTAAGTTTCGACCTAGGCAACCCTTGCTAAAAAGTTACACTTTCTCCATCAAATGACCTGTTCAAAGCACAAACTCCTGTGGACCAAACCCAGCACTGTTACGATTTGTAATCGTGCGGGAAACTCGCTCGTGTTGCACTACAATAAATCCGACATTTCCAATCCTATGAACACAATAAACGCTGCTTTAATTATAATACATGTCACGTATAATAATAATAATGTACTTTTATAGTGTTTAGCATAAATCTGTAATCGATCCTCATATGTTTAAGGAGGAAGTAAGCGACTCTGGATTACAAGTTGTATTTTCAAACTGGCTAATCCTTTAAAAAAAAAAAACCCACAGGCTGTCGATTATCATTCTTGTTCATAAACAAATATGGCATGGTAAAGTTGCCGGTGGCGACTCCTCTATTGAATTTCTAAATGCAAGCAATGCAATTAAAACTACCGGTATGATTAAATAGAACGACATCCATCCTAATGATGTTATGTTATAGGAGATTATAATTGTAGTACCTTTGTGATTACTGCTAATTTCGACCGATTGGTTTTATGTACTCCTTAGTTTTGTATTCAAATGTCTTGATTATCGGTTGTTGCTGAACACATTTGATTAATTGATTGATTAATTAATAATTGATTGATTTATTTATTTATTAATAATTGATTGATTGATTAATTGATTGATTGATTGATTGATTGATTTATTGATTGATTGATTTATTGATTGATTGATTGAGTAATCTGCTTTAGCTGCATCTAATGCTCTGTCATCACTATCACATTTTCTTTGGCAATGAAAGTGTTGTATTCCATATAATTATAGTGATGATGCGCCTATATATAGTTATGCTGTGATGTCTTCATGACCATATTTAGGCATGTCACATGTTTTTATCAAATACAATTTTGACAGCTGGACAGGGTTTTAAATTGTTCTATACTCAGTTGCCTCCTAGAGTAAGGCGTGGTTTATATAAAATCGCTACACTCGCGAGTCGAGTGGCCGAGCGATAATGCAGGGGTGCCGCTAGCTACAGCCTTAACACCGGCGCTGGTTCCAGCCGCTCCTCGCCCATGGTTCGGTTGGTAGAATCAAGTCTTCTCGGATAAGGACTTAAAATGGAGGTCCAGTGTATACATCTGGCTCGTATGTACTTTAAAGAATCCATTGCATCTTTCGGAAGATTAAGGGGTTACCCCGATGTTATGGTTCATTTCAGCCCCTGTTGTCGTTGTGGAATGATGTGAACGTGTATCTACCAAGAAGCGCCTCTTTACGGCTGCTAGGTAGTCACGGACCACGCCCATACGCAATTCAGCACAATGACGCTGCAAGTTATGGGTTATTCTCCTACATTTACCAGGCCGGTAGCCAGGGGTGGGGGTTATGGTTCGGGCGAACCCCCCTTTTCTAGTGAATCCCCCTGTTTTCTAGCGAACCCCCTCGATTTTTTGAATGAGTCCCACTCGGACGGAATGTCTGTTTTTAACTTACCCAGCATTAAATCAAAATTTAGCACCTAATTCATTATTTGGTCACCCGTTTTTAAATTGTAGCCTGCGATACAAGCCTATATTCATAGAATATCTCAGCTTCAGAAGTTCGGAGATTTAAAACATCGATAAAAACTTTCACTGGCCTTTGGCTGAATGTTTGTAAGAAATGTACCAACCAGTAACAAAACCGGTCTCCGTCTACCAGAGTAAATGGCGCCACCAAACGAAGATAAAGTTTTGCGACTTAATCCACCAAATGCAGCTAAAGTTTTGCGACTTAATGATTGTGGATTGTGTGGTTAGTAAATTCCATAGCCATATTGTCCATAGCGCACACTAAACTATTTGCTAATGGAGCATTTTTGGGAAATTGACTCTCCTATTTTCCATCCCCAACAAAATATTATTAATAAATCAACATGGTCCATCTCAGTCATCATAGCGAGTCACAAAATGAGGAAGTTTGTTTTAAACAGCAGACACACACAACAGAACGGAGTGCGTCAAAATCTAAAAAATACGTACTGGCATATTGTAATACACATTCCCTTGTTGTACAGTATGACATGTTTTATTAACATAACATACACTGAGAATCGCCAACGAAATGGGTGGGTATTCAAACTTTTACGATATGGTGAACTATTTCGATTAAAATGTTAAAGTGATTATATAAGAATTAGATGAGTCACTGTCAATAAAACAATTTGCGGAAGAGGAGTATTCAAAATATCGGTACTATTAATATGGGACTAATCAGATGACTGACGCCGCTCTCTGTTTGAATAGTGATCGTAATTGAACAATAATGATGCAGCAACACGCGTGGTCAACTTGTAAAAATTCAGAGCATTCTGTTGTTTGCCCATAAAACAAATTTTGTAGTGTTATACAGTACGGTACAATTTCAAAACATTGTCATCGTAATAAAACAGCTATAATATTGAAAACAAACAACTTGAAACAAAATCGGTGTACGGATTCAAATATATATTTAAAATAGATTTTAATGGTCAACTAGTTATCAAATTTTACTACCAATTTTTACATACATTTATGAGTGCCGGTGTGTAATAGACATGCAAAACAAACATTAGCGGTTAGCTGTATAATATCTTTGAATATCATTTTAGACTGATTCATTTATATGCTTGGTCATCTTGTAATAATTAGTAGAATTCAACAGTTTTTTGTAATAGGGTCCGTATCTCTACACTTCTAGACGTAGTATCAAATTTTAGTTGCCATAGACCCGGTTTCATACACACTTGCTTAAGTAAATTTCAAAGGAAACTGTTTTCCCCATTTTTCTTATTGTTAAATACTCCAATGCAATACTGTAGGCCCCTGGTATAAAATTGACAGATCAATTAGACACTCTGTAACGATCGATTATGCCTTTTTATATAATATTGTAGGCCATAGCCTAATGTGTGTGAAGTACTGACTTTGTTAATATCGAATGGGTGAAATTGCGCACAAACTTCAAACTCTTGGCCTATACATACAATGCCAGAGGAAAGGATATCACGTTTTAGTCACCAAAAAGGATTTTCCACGGACGCATAGAGTAGGCCTTCTAATAGTAAGTTCTCGAAAATCCAGACACTTCGTTAAGACCTATACAGTACAAAATACTGTACACTATATACCGTAATTCATTGAAACAGCTTTAAAATGAAGGACTTTTCAATGAAGTTTATGTATATAGGCCCTACTAATATTTTGCGAATCTTGGGTTTTTAAAAGCAATCTTGGGATTTTTTAGACCCAATCTTGGGAAT